GTGTGTGGTTGTGCTGCTGCCGTGGTCCTGCCAGATGCCTCCTGCTGCTGCTGCCATCATTAGTCATTAGTCATACTTCTACTGTTATTATACACATATGACTATTGTCACACATGTATACTGCCAGATATTAATACATACTTTCAACATATTGTACCACAGTAGCCAGAACTATAACTATAATATTATTACTTTCAATAATGTTGTTGTAAGCTACTGTTATTACCTGCATCTCTCTCTCTGTCTCTCTCTCTGTCTCTCTCTCTCTCTGTCTCATTGTGTCATGCGGATTACTGTTAATTTATTATGCTGATCTGTTCTGTACGACATCTATTGCACGTCTGTCCGTCCTGGAAGAGGGATCCCTCCTCAGTTGCTCTTCCTGAGGTTTCTACCGTTTTTTTTCCCCGTTAAAGGGGTTTTTTTGGGGAGTTTTTCCTTATCCGCTGCGAGGGTCATAAGGACAGAGGGATGTCGTATGCTGTAAAGCCCTGTGAGGCAAATTGTGATTTGTGATATTGGGCTTTATAAATAAAATTGATTGAAAATTGATTGATAATTTTGTATTTTCTTTGATATTTTTGTCATATACAGGTATGATTGTTCTGTAACATAATTTCAAGTCTATATTTGATCATGTGACATGACGATACAATATGGTAGCTAGTTAAGAGGCTGAGCACATCTCCAAGTCCAGCGAACAGTCATGCCTTTTACACAGAAAAGCATCAGTAAGAAAGGACAAGAAACAAAGAGGATGAAAAAGTAGAAAGCTCCCTAAATTGGATTCTTTTGGCTTTTTTATAAACAGTTGCCAGTGGTGCGCATGTGTGCTTTATAACCAGTAACTGGCGTGCACCAGGGCCCATCACAATAGTATGCACTGGGGTCTGTGGTAACTACCTTACGTCTCTGCCTGTTAGAATACATAGCGTACATGCAAAATACATACATACAAAAAAATTAAGATTTTTTTTAATGTGGTACCTTAAATAATGAGTGCATTGATCATTGGTGTGCTGGCTGAAATGGCAGTGGATTGTATCTGGCAGCTGTGACTGAACAAGAACACAATATAGCCATGCCAAGAGGAAACTGTGAGCCATCGCTCTTAAAGGGGTGGTAGTTCGGACTTTTTGAGGTGGGACTGTATGGGGTAATAATCCATTGTCAGTATATTACATACAGTAGTTGTCAGTCAGCATGCCCCCAGTTTGGTGAATAAGGCTCGAGTCCAACACAGAAGCTAAGCAATGTGCTGCTGTGGAGGGGTCTGCAACAAAATGTATTTTTGCCACCTAAAAAAATTAATGTCAGTTCAAGTATACGCTATATTGAGATAATTTTCACTGCTTTACCTTAATGTCAAACAGCCTGTTTCAACAAATAGGTAGTTAACAGCTTTAGCTCCCCATCTATGCTCTTGTGAAAACCACCTGACTCCATTAACAAAAACAATAATTTTAGCACACTGAACACAGATGCTGGTATACCGCTGGGTGGCAGTAGCTCAGTCCATAGGGACTTGGACTTGGGAACCAGAGGGTCGCCTGTTCAAGTCCCCATCTGGACCAAATATGGAGCCTGGACTGGTAGCTGGAGAGGCACCAGTTCACCTCCTGGGCACTGCCGAGGTGCCCTTGATCAAGGCATCGAACCCCCAAACCACTCGGGGTGCCTGACCAAGGGCAGCCCCCTCACTCTAACATCTCTCCACTTTGTGCATGTATAGGTCCTGTTTGTGCATGTGTGTGTGTGTCTTTCGGACCTGTGTGTTAATGACAAAAGAGTGAAAAAATTGAATTTCCCCTCAGGGGGTTTAGTAAAGTATATAAAATAAAATACATAAATAAATCAATTAGTTAGTGTTTGCTGTTGTGTGACTTTGGTGAATTTAAATTAACCCTTTTAGATGCCAAAGTCACACAATAACACAAGTTAACTATCTGATCAAGGCAGTAGCCATGTTTCCATCAGCCTGTTTAAATGCGCATCTAGAAGTATCGCATTGGAAAATTATGATGGAAACACCAAAATTCTAATTAAAATCCCCTGATTTGCACAAACTAAAATACACTCGCTTTAGCCGGGTTTTGGTTGATTCGAAAAAATGTTGATTCGCAAAACGGGGGATGGAAACAGTTATGTTCGAATTAAGTCTGACGTAGCGCATCTCTCTCCATGGTGATATCCACACTCTGGGTCGGGAAGGTGGTAATGCATTTACAAGTTGGTTGCCAAATGCCAGAAAACGTAGAAGAGGAAGAATGCGAGACTTGTTTTGTTTCCGGTTCTGCGGAAAACTCGCGCAAGTTCGTAGTTTTCACCAAAGTCCGTACATTTAATGGAAACACACAGGATTCGTATTTCTTTTAATGCTCATTTCCCAATGATTCGAATCACTTTTGGATGGAAATATAGCTAGTGTTAGATAAGCAGCTCCTGTGTTCAGTGATGTTGAATCACTGACTCTCAAAGGAGTCTGGCTTTGAAGAGAGTGATGGAACGGCTTCATTTTCCTACTGGAAATCACTGTCTGACATTAAGGTAAAGCAGTGAAAATATTCTCATTATAGCCTACACTTAAACTTTTTAGGTGGCTAAAATACATTTTGTTGCTGACCCCTCCACAGCAGAATATGTTGGACTTCAGCCTGCTTCTCCAAACTGGGGGCGTGTCCACTAACATTTGGTGTATGTAATATACTGTCTGTGGATAAGAACCCCACACAACTCCACTTCAAAAAATCTGAAGTATCCCTTTACTTTAGACTTTGATCTTGTCTAGCATTTTTGGACAGCCTTTGCCTGTGGTTTTGGGCAGTCACCTTTGTACTAAACCCTACTTTTGTCAAGTAAAGACTTGACTAACTTTTACTCTTTGTCTATGAGTCATGCTTTTGAGCCCTGTCTCTGCTGTTTACCAGAGTTGCATGATGAGGTCCTGCCTTATAAACCTGATTCTGAGGCCCTGCCTTTAAGAGGTTCCCTGTGTCAACATCAGGTTGAAAGTTCTTCACTAATTGCTTATATGCTGCCAATTCCTAAACTTAGGTGTTTAGGTTTTAATATAATATGATAATCAAAAACGATAATCACATTAACACACAGTAAATCTTGGATCATAAAGTATTCCAACTTTGAAAACTGTTCACAGCAAACAGGGTGTTTAATAAATTCAATACCAAGTCCCTCAGTAACAGAGATTTCCTGTACCGACTTTGATCATTTTGTCGATAGCGCCATAGGCTCGCTGCAAACAACACTTGACTCTGTAGCTCCTCTTAAAAAGAAGTTAAAAAAGCAAAGAAAGTTCGCTCCTTGGTATAACTCTCAAACCCGTAAGTTAAAACAAATATCGCGAAAATTTGAAAGGAATTGGCGATTAACCAAACTGGAAGAATCTCGTTTAATCTGGACAGACAGTCTCAAAACTTATAAGAGGGGCCTCCGCAATGCCAGAGCAAACTATTACTCAGCATTAATAGAAGAAAACAAGAACAACCCCAGGTTTCTTTTCAGCACTGTAGCCAGGCTGACTGAGAGTCAAAGCTCTATTGAGCCTTGTATTCCTTTAGCCCTTAGCAGTAATGATTTTATGAGCTTTTTTAATGACAAAATTCTAACTATTAG